CCCCCTCCCATTCCTCAGACAAAATGTCCATCCTGGGCCTCCTACAGTGCCACAACAATACCACCTGAAGGTTGCAGCAACAGCAACTCATTCCACTTGGGAACCCTGCAGCCCAATGGTATCAATGTGGATTTCACAAGCTTCAAAATCTCCCCTCCCACTACCACATCCCAAAACCAGTCCAGCTCATCCCCACCTCCCTAATCTGTTCTTCCTCCTACCTCAAGCCACACCCCCATCTCCTACCAACTAACCTCATCCCACCCCCTTGACCTGTCCATCCTCCCTGGACTGACCTATCCCCTCCCTAACCCCCCCACCTACACTCACCTTTACTGGCTCCATCCCCACCTCTTCAACCTGTTTGTTTCCTCTCCTCTATCCATCTTCTATCCACCTCCCACTCTCTCCCTATTTATTTCAGAACCCCCTCCCCCTTTTCTGATGAAGGGTCTAGACCCAAAACATCAGCCTTTCTACTCCTATGATGCTGCTTGGCCTGCTGCATTCATCCAGCCCTGCATCTTGTAGTCTTACACCCATGATCATTTGACTCAATCAAGTCAACTACCAATTGAGCCACACCTGACACTTATCTGTTAACTATTAACTTGATAAAGCTGGTGGCATTAAGAAGATCCAAACTTATATTCTAAAACTCATACTGTGGAGCCAGCTGAGATTTCACATACAGTAAATTTACAGCATACATTTTACCCAGAAAGGCTAATCAATGTTGCACAGCCGCACCCACACTAATTTGGTAACCAAAATGATAGCACTGTTCACAGCAACTAAGTGAGATAATAGCTACCATAAAAGAGCAGGGAGCTGCCATATGACAACAGTTTATTGTTGTTAAATTATTTTAGGGATAAAAACCTAATGAACAGCTGTTGAAACAAAACAAAAAGTAATCCTCAAAACAACCAGAACGCAATAGGCCATGCAATGAGATATTTTAGAGATGCTTTATTTAAAAGGAGCTGTCCTGTAATTTTAAATAATATTTCTGCCCTTTATAGCTGAGCTCCACTAAGTTTGTTTAGGCTTCATCCCTTTGTTAGTTGATCTCAGCCAGCGAGACACTAGAAGCAATGCAGCTCCGTAGAAGGGAGCATTTGGGGAGATTAGATCAGCCAAGGAACAGTCTGCCAAATCACAAAAGCGGATTGTAAACCCAGCGACGTAGAGGCCACTCCAAATTTCATTAAGATTAATTTCCTCTTTACCTGATATGCTCCTCTTGCTGTTGCAAGGAAACATAATATTAAATATTACCTTCCTGGCCCCTTCTTGCCCATGAGCCATCTCCTGGCGTGACTGGGACATCATCACTGTTTACCTACTCAGGCTTCAGGTTAACATTGCAGTCAAGGCCCAAAGATATTATTGAGGACATGCTCTGGATCTTTAAAAATGAAAATAAAAATACCAACATTTGATTGAAAGCGCATGTTACCATTGGGACACAGCAGGACAGAGGAGGACAAATGACTACCTTCATTTTAAATGCACCCCCCCAACAGATGCTTAAAGCACCCAAGGATTACAGGTACCAATGTAATTATGCCCCAGCAAGAATCAAATGCCTTTAGGTGCAAAATGATGGCAATGGAAAAATCACTTAAAAAAAAAAGCTGAATTGTAATTTAACTAAATCAAATGCAATCAGAATTAAGTACTACATTTAAAAGAAACACAATTATGGGAACCATTGAGGAATTAAAAAAAAGCTTCCTAGATATGATCAGAATTGCTGCTGAAATGCTTGAGATCAGTAAATAGATTACAGAAAAGAATTCAGCAAGGTCTAGATTGAACAACAAAGTTTTAGCAGAGGATAAAGTCTTCAATTAGTCTGGGAACCTATCCAGCACTGCCTAGAAAACTCTGCACCAGCTCCAAGCCAACAATGTGAAGCCAGCGGCATATTTCACAAGTTGGGACAGTTCTGAGGAAGCTCCTAAACTGGCCCAAGACACAAGTCACAATTAAAATGAACATACCACACCCATCCTACAGTAGAATATTCAAGTGGCTGAGGTGGGTAGGCCCAAGCTAGCCGATCTGTGCATGGTCAGAAGATAGAATCACAGAATTCCTTCAGTGCAGAATGAAGCCATTCAACCCATCGAGTCTGCACCAACCCTCCAACAGCATCCCACCTAGACGCAGCAGTCCCCCACCCAATCCCCATAACCTCACATTTCCCACGGCTAACCCACTTAGCCTGCACATTCCTAGACACTACAGCACAATTTAGCACGGCCAATGCAACTAACACGCACAGACTGTGAGAAGAAACCAGAGCATCCAGCAGAAACCCACGCACACATGGGGAGAAGGCCACATAAGCAGACCAAGACTGAAATCAAACCTGGGTTCCTGTGCTGTGAGGTAGCAGTGTTAACCACTGAGCCACCATGCTGCCATATAGCAGTAGGATATTGTAATTGTATTTTACTCGAAACACATCTTAACAGAAAGTACTTTGTGTCGGTGTTCACCAAAGAGAAGGAATTGTAGGAGGATGATCTCAGGTAAGGGAGTGTTGAATATCCAAGCCAGATTGCTATTAAAAAGGAAGAGGTGTTGTGCGTCTTAAGAAGTATTAAGTTAGATAATTCCACACATTCTGATAGGATCTATCTCAGAATACTGAAGGATGCAAGAGAACAAATTGCTGGAGCATTGACAGACATCTTTGTATTCTCTTTGGTCACAGGTGAGGTCCCAGAGAACTAAAGAATAGCTAATGTTGTCCCATTGTTTAAGAAGGGCAGCAGTGATAATCCAGGAAATTACAAGCCTATGAGACTCATGTCAGTGATGGGGAAATTATCGGAAAAGATTCTCCGGGATAAGATCTATACACATTTAGAAGCAAATGGAGTTATTAATGACAGCATGGTTTTGTGCAGAGGAGATCGTGCCTCACAAACTTGATCGAGTTTTTTGAGGAGGTGACAAAGATGATTGATGAGGGAAAAGCAGTTGATGTTGTCTATATTGCTTTCAGTAAAGCCTTTGACAAGGTGCCTCATGGCAGACTGGTACAAAAGGTGAAGTCACATGTTATCAGAGCTGGCAAGATGGATACAGAACTGGCTCAGTTATCGGAGAGAGCGAGAGGAGCGGTGGAAGGATGCTTTTTGGAATGGAGGGTTGTGACCAGTGGTGTTCCATAGGGATCAGTGCTAGGATCTCTGCTGTTTGTGGTCTACATAAATGATTTGGAGGAAAACATAGCCAGTCTAATTAGTAAGTTTGCCGATGATACAAAGATTGGTAGATTTGCGGATAAAGAGGAAGCCTGTCACAGGATACAGCAGGGGATAGATCAGTTGAAGGCATGGGCAGAAAAATGGCAGATGGAGTTTAATCCGGACAAATGAGGTGATGCATTCTGGAAGGTCAAGTACAGGTGGAAATTATACAGTGAATGGCAGAACCCTTAGGAGTATTGATATGCAGAGGCATCTTGGGTGTTGCAGGTCCACAGATCACTGAAAGTGGCAGCACAGGTAGATAAGGTAGTAAGAAAAGGCCTATGGTATGCTTGCCTTCATTGGAAGAGGCATTGAGTATAAGGACAGACAAATTATGTTACAGCTTTACAGAACCTTAGTTAGGCCACACTTGGAATATTGCATACAGTTCTGGTGACCACACTACCAGAAGAATGTGGATGCTTTGGAGAGGGTACAGAAAAGGTTTACCAGGGGATGTGGCCTGGTATGGGGGATTTCAGCTATGAAGAAAGGTTGGATAGACTGGGTTTATTTTAACTAGAACGCAGGAGGTTGAAGGGCGACCTGATAGAAGTCTATAATTTTGTGAATGGCATGGATAGAGTGGAAAATATGAGGCTTTTTCCCAGGGTGGAGGGGTTAATTACTAGGGGATACACGTTCAAGGTGTGGGCAGGGGCACATTTAAAGGAGATGAGCAAGGCAAATTTTTCACACAAAGGGTGATGAGTGCCTGGAATGCGCTGCCAATAGTGGTGGTGGAAGCAAACAGAATAGTAGCACCTGAATGAATACATGAATAGGAAGGGGATAGAGGGATATGGATCCTGTAAGTGAAGACAGTTTTAGTATAGAAGGGCAAAATGTGTCGGACCGGCTTGGAGGGCCGAACGGCCTATTCCTGTGCTGTATTGTTCTTTGTACTTGTGTGTTCTACTCTCCCCATTTCCTAACCCTGACTTTTCTTCTCAAAGCAGGCATATGTGCAACAATGTCTGTATGACTGTACAAACAGATCAAACTTGAGACATAAACCAAGTTAAAATTTTGACCTTTCTTCCCCTTCTGACCATAAATGTAACCTTTGTAAAAATGTGAAGTTATGAACAATTTGCCATAAATAATTGCCAAGAAACAATAAGTACACAAGTAAAACAGAATTTGCAAAGCAACAACTGTCCTAAATTCGAATGGTAGTCACAGGATGCCAATGTAACAATTAAACTGGAATCATTCAGAGGCAAGTCAACTCAGAACAACAAAATTTCATCAAGAAAATTGACAAAAAACTGTAAAGAGATGAAAAGCAGTCAAGGTTTTAAATTACCATACATTAACAGATTTTCAACAAAAAGAATTCAAACCGTAAAGCAAATCTCATTTTTGGAATCAGCTAGAAACAGAATGAAGGTCACAATGCATCTGGAGAACAACAGCTGAGTGAAAAGTTGGATGTGGGAACTGTAAAAAGCAGACTGGAACAAATGCCAGAACTTATTATGACCTTTTGCTCTAGGGGATTTAGGAAGGAAAGAGTAAGAGTATACACATAAAGAACATACTGTACATGCCAGAGCATAGTCCAATCAAATTCCTGTTGATACAAATTTCACTTTTGACAAATTGATCACTTCGGGATCCTGTGTACATGAATTAAGCAAACAGGCTAGACAGTTCCCAGACTACATAGCTGCAGCATGCCAACACAAATTCTTTCCTACGCCCTTATAACACTGTTCTACCTACCATCATTTCTCTTTGCTCCACAAGGTTATGTAAAAATGTTGCAAACTCCTGAAGTGATTCATCTGGAATAGAGAGAAAGAGGAGTCATATTGGATTTGAAACATGAACTCGGTTTTTCTGCACAGATACTGCTAGACCTGCTGAATTTCTCCTGCATTTTCTCTTTTCATATAAGAAAACCAGCATCTGCCATAATTTACTTTTATCAGAGCTTAGGCCATCTTCCTGCAATTTCACATGCTTGCATTTTGTGGATGTTGTATTGAACACATACAAAAGAATGTGAGACATGGTGTTCCCCCAACTGAGATTAAGGGGGATCTACTATGAATTATTATGCCTGCGGGCCCTTCCCCCAGACTTGTTAGCCGGTCAATCCTGCCAGTAGCAGTCGTTTATCTCAAGGAGTAAGCCATGCAGAATAAACTGCACAAGGCTGGTACGCTGAAACTGCAAATGACTCATTAAAACAAGTACTGACCCACTTGGGGATGAGTCCATTTAACAGATCAAATCCAATGTGGGCTCACCTGGTCACTAGATAACCTCAGACTGATCCCATATCCTTGTGATAGCGACAACTTATCCAAATGGCTCCTCAATCAACATTCAAAATTTACTCCTGTGTCTTTCATGGTGATGAGGAAGCAGGGTTTAATTCTGGAGATGGAGCTTGAGAAACTCCTAACACATCCACAGAAGGGAGCAGGCACACCAGTTACTCAGTCCTGACTCAGGGAGGCAGTGACAGAAAATAACAGAACAAGCAAAGACCTGTAGTTGGAATGAGTACACTTTAAATCCTTTAACAAGGAATACAAGCCTGGTCCCAGCAGCCACAGGGTAATTCCAGTTTCATTGTCAGATATTAAAACTGCTTCTGTTAAAAAGCTCATAATTGGATCTAGGAACTGAGCCAGATGTCCACTGTGAGGCGAGCTACTGCCTTCCCCAGTCCCTGCCTCTCAGTGCTCCTTTGATGGTCTAAGCTGATACTCTAAGCCATTCTGAAGAAGGGTCATTGGACCCAAAATGTTAACTCTGCTTTCTCACCACAGGTGCTGTCAGACCTGCTAAGTTTCTCCAGCAATGTCTGTTTTAGTTTCAAGCACTTGAATACTCCAGCTCAGAATAATGGAATGTATGCATCAGTTCTATTTTGTTGGTTTTCAGAGCTGGTGCGTAACTAAGTGGTCTAGGATCCAGTGGATATATAAAGGAGAATAAAGCTGGAAGATTACATGATTTTGAACAAACAGACAGACATTCTCTACAAGTTGAATCATTAATACAGTCTATAATACATTCAAAACTTATTTCTAATTCCCAAATTTAACATGTGGTAAACATGGGTAATAGACTGTGATCCAACATCCCACAGCAGACACAAAATTAGCAAAAGCAAACAAGACAAATTTCAAATTTCTTAGCAATGCCCCCAAAAGGTTCATCAAATCTTATTAAACATCGTACGGTATTACAATTCTTCATTTTTGCCAATCTGGCCTTGAAACTCCCTCTCGAGAGCCACTCTATTATAGAAGGTCTCAACAACAACTGTTCTGGTTAATCACCATCCTGTCCCAGACTTCAAAGTCTGTACTCAGTACCTATTCATGGTACCACTCCAGCTTCACCAAGCAATAATCTTTCCTTTTGCTTTTCCCTGAGCTACCACCTTGCTCAGCTGCGTCAAGCAGAAACAGTTTAAAGCTTCTCAACCCACACTGTCAGTCATACTGGCTTTTTAATGTCACCCACCTTGTTGTAAGCCACCACAACTTTCAGGACTTTTCCCAAGTCCTGAGGGCAACACATAGCTGTCCAATAACTTTAAGAACTTAGTCCGAGTTTAGCAGCACAGAGATATTTGAGTGTTCTTGGGACATAACTTGCTATGTCCCCTACACAGACCCTTTATCGTTTGTTGTGTTCCCTGCAATACAGCTAAAAATGAGCACTTTAAACAGGGAATCTAATATCTGTCTCCTTCACATACTATTGACTTCTTTTCACACTCTGTTGGTCTTCTTCAAACTCCTGACCCATGACTTTCTGAACTGTCCTGAGTGATCCATCGTAAACCTTGCAATAAGTCCCTCCTCCATTAACAGGCATAATTGAATACCATCACCGAGAAACGCTTGGAAATGCTTTTTCCATAAATGTTTCCAGTCATAGGTTGCTGGCTTGCTTAGTACAACAAAAACAAAGTAGACTAGAGTACTGAAATAACAAATTGTAGAGTTGGATGAACACAGCAGGCCAAGCAGCATCAGAGGAGTAGGAAAGCTGACGTTTTGGGCAGAGACTCTTCTTCAAAAATGGGGGAGGGGAAGGGGGTTCTGAAATAAATAGGGAGAGAGGGGGAGGTGGATAGAAGATGGATAGAGGAGAAGATAGGTGGAGAGGAGACAGACAGGTCAAAGAGGCGGGGATGGAGCCAGTAAAGGTGAGTGTAGGTGGGGAGGTAGGGAGGAGATAGGTCAGTCCAGGGAGGACGGACAGGTCAAGGGGGCGGGATGAGGCTAGTAGGTAGGGGATGGGGCGGGGGCTTGAGGTGGGAGGAGGGGATAGGTGGGAGGAAGGACAGGTTAGGGAGACGGGGGCTGGGCTGGTTTTGGGAAGTGGTAGGGGGAGGGGAGATTTTGAAGCTTGTGAAGTCCACATTGATACCATTGGGCTGCAGGTTCCCAAGCGGAATAGGAGGTGCTGTTCCAGCAACCTTCGGGTGGCATCGTTGTGGCACTGCAGGAGGCCCAGGATGGACATGTCGTCTGAGGAATGGGAGGGGGAGTTGAAATGGTTTGCGACTGGGAGGTGCAGTTGTTTAGTACTAACTGAGCAAAGCAGTCCCCGAGCCTCCGCTTGGTTTCCCCGATGTAGAGGAGGCCACAACAGGAACAGCGGATACAGTATACCACATTAGCAGATGTGCAGGTGAACATCTGCTTGATGTGGAAAGTCTTCTTAGGGCCTGGGATGGGGGTGAGGGGGGAGGTGTCGGGGCAGGTGTTGCACTTCCTGCGGTTGCAGGGAAAAGTGCCAGGTGTGGTGGGGCTGGAGGGGAGTGTGCAGCGGACAAGGGAGTCACGGAGAGAGTGGTCCCTCCAGAAAGCAGATAAGGGTGGGGAGGGAAAAATGTCTTTGGTGGTGGGGTCGGATTGCAGATGGCGGAAATGTCAGAGGATGATGCGTTGGAACCGGAGGTTGATGGGGTGGTACACGAGGACGAGGGGGATTCTGTTTTGGTTGTTATTGCAGGGAGGGGGTGTGAGGGATGAGTTGCAGGAAATGCGGGAGACACGGTCGAGGGCGTTCTCAATCACAGAGGGGGAAGTTGCGGTCCTTGAAAAACGAGGACATGAGATGTACGGGAGTGGAATGCCTCATCCTGGGAGCAGATGCGGCGGAGGTGAAGGAGTTGGGAATAGGGGATGGCATTTATGCAGGAAGGTGACTGGGAGGAGGTGTAGTCTAGGTAGTTGTGGCAGTCGGTGGTCTTGAAATGGATATCGGTTTCCAGGTGGTTGCCAGAGATGGAAACACAGAGGTCCAGGAAGGAAAGAGAGGTATCAGAGATGGTCCAGTTGAACTTAAGGTTGGGGTGGAAGGTGTTGGTGAAGCGGATGAACTATTCGAGCTCCTCGTGGGAGCATGATGCGGTGCCGATACAGTCATCAATGTAACGGAGGAAGACGTGGGGTTTAGGGCCGGTGTAGCTATGGAAGAGGGATTGTTCCATGTAACCTACAAAGAGGCAGGCATTGCTTGGGCCCATGCGGGTACCCATGGCCACCCCCTTTGTGTGTACGAAGTGGAGGAATTAAAAGAGATGTTGTTGAGGGCGAAGACGAGTTCGGCTAAGCAGATGAAGGTGTCAGTGGAGGGGGACTGGTCGGACCTGCGGAACAGGAATAAGCAGAGGACCTTTAGGCCATCTGTATGGGGAATGCAGGTATGTAGGGACTGGACGTCCATGGTAAAGACAAAGTGTTGGGGACCGGGGAATTGGAAGTTTTGGAGGAGGTGGAGGGTGTGGATGGTGTCACAGGCGTAGGTAGGGAGTTCCTGGACCAATGGGGAGAAAATGGAGTCGAGATAGGTGGAGATAAGTTCGGTGGGGCAGGAGAAGGCGGAGACAATGGGTCGACCAGGGCAGTCAGGTTTGTGGATTTTGGGAAGGAGATAGAAGCAGGCGGTGTGCGGTTGGGGAACGATGAGGTTGGAGGCTGTGGGTGGGAGGTCACCTGAGGTGATGAGTTTATGGATGGTTTGGGAGATGATGGTTTGGTGGTCAGGGGCGGGGTCATGATCAAGGGGGCGATAGGAGGTGGTGTCGGAGAGTTGGTGCCTGGCCTCAGCGATGTAGAGGTCAGTGCGTCATACTACAACTGCGCCTCCCTTGTCCGCAAGTTTTATGGTGAGTTTGGGATTGGAGCGGAGGGAGTGGAGGGCTGCATGTTCTGCGGAGGAGAGGTTGGAGTGGGTGAGAGGGGTGGAGAGTTGGAGGGCAGTTGGAGATGAAGAGGTCCAGGGAGATAAGGAGGCCTTGGGGTGGTGTCCAGGAGGAGGGGGTGTGTTGGAGGCGGGAGAAAGGGGTCAGTAGAGGGAGGGTTAGGCTCACGATTAAAGAAGTAAGTGCGGAGGCGGAGGCAGAGGCAGCGGCAGCGGAAAAACTGTTCAACGTCCAAGCGTGAGCGATATTCGCTGATGTGTGGGTGGAGGGGGGTGGGGGACAAAAGTGAGCCCTTTACTGAGGACTGACCATTCGTCCTCAGTAAGGGGGAGGTCTGGGGGTATGGTGAAGACTCGGCAGGGCTGGGAGATATTGTCTCCTCTGGAGCTGTCGGCTGTGGAGGCGGTGGGCGGATCAACGTCGGCAGTGGGTTGGGCGACGTCGGTGTCGGTGGTGGGCGAAGCGACGTCACGTCGGCGGAGAGATGTCAGCGGCGGCAGCAGCGGTGTCAGCTGGTGCATCCTCTGTGTCTGTGGTGTTGGCCTCGGAAATGGAGGCAGTGGATCAGCAGCGGTGTCGATGGCGTTCGCTGTACCAGAAGTG